TAGATAGATAGATAGATAGATAGATAGATAGATAGATAGATAGATAGATAGATAGATAGATAGATATTCTTCAAATATCACTGCATCAAACTTGAATGAACACATGGGTACCATTACTATAAATAGCCTAATAGCGGTATAGGGAAGATAAATGTATTGCATAAGACCATTTTGAGATATATGTAAAACATACTTTTTCAGGATGCCCACTGTTTCTTTCCTAACAACAACAGGCAGTCCAATATTGGACTGGAAGATACGTGAGTCAAATTAATTTACTCTATAATAAAGTCAAAGCCCATTTTTCTGCCTCTGTGTGATTTATAATATGCAGTAGTCTAAATAAATCCCAATAAATAAATAAATTCCTTTCCCCGCATTTTTGAGCTATGGTTTTGGCTCATATACTGTAGACTCTTATGAACTTCGCATATATGGATAAACTTTTTTCTGTCTTATACCGCCATCTGCTGACCGTGGTTCAAAGTCTCGTTTTTCGCTTTGAATCTTGTGACAGGAACACACCTGACAAGCATTTTCCTTAAAGCTGTCGTACACATTTTTGTTCAAGGCCAGTGTGTGAGTACAAAGCAGATTTCCCTGGTAATGCTCTAAGAAAAGGGATCAGGTGCCAGCATAGCGCTTGATTTGTCAATCTGAAAAGACTTTCTTCATCTGTTTTTTTTTCTTTTTCTTTTCATTGTGCTGTCCCTTTTCCACCCAGCTGCACACTAATGTGTTGTGGTTGTTAGTCATTGCATAATGAAAGCCAAGTGCCAACTCTTTCTAATACGTCCTTTAAATCATCCTCTCGGTTGGATATAATAGTATTCCAAATTGCCCTTTATTCGAACATGATACAAACATAAAAATAAAATAGTGCACAGTAGCAAGACGTGCATCAGAAAGAAGAGAAAATACCGATTTTTAGTTTCAGTTAACATATCATGCTCAAAATGGGGTAGGAAGAAGTGAGAACTTATAAACTCCTACCCCTAAACACTTGAGACTAAAGTCCTACTGTCATTAAAAAAAAAAAAATCAAAATCAAAGTGGCAGTCAGAAGTAACAGTTACTAAAATTGACCTATACATTTTCCCATTTTATGCTGTTTATCTTTCTAAACCCTTACACCAAGTTGTTATCTTCAATACCCACCTTATTGCTTTCTGTCCCCATGTGTGTATCTATTGAAAATTACCTCTTTGTACTTCCTATTGAATTGTGTTAAACTATTGCTTTGTTTTAAATCTTCATGTAACGTATTCCATAACTTTACACCTTTAATTGAAATACAGAAGCTTTTTCTTGTTGTTCTAAAATTGCGGATCTTGAAGTTTGAGTGACCCCTTAAGTTATACCCCCCTTCTCTTTCAGAAAACGTGCTCTGTATATGCTCAGGTAACAACTTTTTAGATACCTTGAACATAAATTGAGCCATTTTAAATTCTACAAGCTCGTCAAATTTGAGAATTCTGGATATTATGAAGAGCGGGTTTGTATGCTCATAATAACCGACATTATGGATGATTCTAATGGCTCGTTTCTGTAGGACGGTTACCGGATGTAAAGAGCTCTTGTAATTAACTCCCCACACTTCACAGCAATATGATAGATATGGTAAAATCAGAGAGTTATATAGAATATAAAGTGATTTAGCATTCAATACATGTCTAGCTCTAGCCAATATGGATATACTTCTACTGAGTTTACTCTGTAAATGTTGAATATGAGGTTTCCAACTGATTTTGTAATCTATTATTAAACCGAGGAACTTATTAGCAAAACCCCTTTCTAGAGTTACGTCCTCTATTTGAACTTGGATTTCAGTATTTTTATAACAGTTCCCAAAGACCATGAATTTCGTCTTGTCCAAATTTAGGGATAATTTGTTATGGTCAAACCATATCTATAATTTACTAATCTCTGAAGTGACTGTTGAGAGAAGATGCTTTAAGTTGTCTCCTGAGGCTAGAATATTTGTGTCATCAGCGAATAAGATACATTTTAATACATTGGACACTTTACTGATATCATTTATATAAAGATTAAATAAAACTGGTCCCAATACTGATCCTTGTGGTACTCCACAGACAGTCTCCTGCCAATCAGATTCCACATCTCCCAATTTCACAAATTGTTTCCGGCTCTTTAAATAACTCCTCATCCAGTCAGAAACTACTCCCCTAATTCCATAGCGTTCTAATTTTTTAAGTAGGATTTCATGATTTATTGTATCAAAAGCTTTCTTTAAATCTATAAATATCCCTACTGCCAGTTTCTTACTATCTGTTGCGTTGGTTATTTCTTCTATTAAGTCAGTTACGGCCAGCGATGTTGACCGGTTTGCTCTGAATCCATATTGACTGCTGATAAGTAGCAAATGTTTTTCTATGAATTGTTCCAGTCTTTTCTTAAAGAGTTTTTCCAGGATTTTAGAAAATTGTCGGAGAAGAGAAACAGGCCTGTAGTTAGTGAAGAGGTGTTTGTTGCCAGTTTTATATTGGTTTGACCTTCGCTATTTTCATTTTGTTGGGAAATGATCCTGTTTGAAATGATAAATTGCAAATATAAGTTAGTGGTTTAGAGATTCCTTTAATTACTATTTTAATAGTTTTCATGACCAGATCATCACAGTCAGTGGAAGTCTTATTTTTACAGTTATTCACAATGTTTATGATTTCTTCTTCTAGTACAGGGTTGAGAAATAGGGAGCTGGGATTATTCTCAATTAGATTTTGCTGAGTTGCAGTTTTTGTAGTCGGTATTTTTTCTGCTAATTGAGGTCCTATATTAACAAAAAAACTATTGAATTTATTGACGACACTTTTCAAATCAGTAATATTCTGTTCATTATCTATAAAATAGTCTGGATATTTGTTATTGTTAGCTTTTCTAATAACTCTATTTAAAATATTCCATGTTTCCTTAATGTTGTTTTTATTCCTATCCAGTAATTTATGATAATAGTCCTTTTTACATGTTTTTATAATATTAGTTAACTTATTTTTATATTTCTTATATTTGTTTTCTGATTCAGACGTTCTATGTTTTAGAAATTCTCTATAAAGTTTGTTTTTCTTTTTACATGCCTTTTGTATTCCTTTTGTGATCCACTGTTCATTTTTTTGATTGCTTTTCCTGTTATATTGTTTGATTGGGCAGTGCTTGTTATATAATATTTTTAATATTTTTAAAAATTCTTCATATGCTAAATTCACATCATTCATTTTATATATTAATCTCCAATCGTGGGCCAACAACTCAGCTTCTAGAGCTTTTAGTGTCTCTTCAGACGTAACCCGTCTGTAATGCGTCTCTATTTTTTGATCGTCTGTTTTGCACTTACAGTCGTAGACTATGAACACTGGTAAGTGATCGGTTATGTCATTCATTAATATTCCACTAGTTAAATTATTTTCCAGCACATTTGTAAAAATATTATCAATCAAGGTAGCGCAGTGCGATGTAATGCGACTGGGCCTGGTGATTTTAGGGTACAGGCTTAAACTGAACATAGTGTTAATAAATTTTTCAGTCATTCTATGTTTATTTGGATTGAGAAGGTCAATATTGAAATCCCCACAGAAAAATGTTATTCTTTGATTAATTGTTATAAATTTTTCTTCTATCCAGTTGTTGAATACTTCAATGTTTGATCCAGGGGCTCTATAAATGCAACTCACTAAGACATTTTTCCTTTTTTCTACGAGTATTTCTATAGTCACACATTCAAACATATTGTCCATCACAGTTGACATTGTTTCGATCAACTTATAATTAATCTTCTTGTCAACATATAAAGCTACTCCCCCTCCATTTTTGTTTTCTCTGATCTTACAAACCATTTCATAACCATTGATTTCAAAGTCTATGCCCTTATCACTATTGAGCCAAGTTTCTGATAAGGCAATAACATTGAATGTCTGTGAAAGTTGTTGGAGGTATTGTTTGATGCTGTCAAAATTTGCATAAAGGCTTCTGCTATTAAAGTGAATTATAGACAGCTTTTGTTCCATTTTAATGCTATTGTTGAACTGATCATCGCTGTAATAGTGACAACTATCATTGCTGACATTATAGAAGTTGTTATCAGGATCAATGTAAGTTTCAATATCTTGCTGATGATAGTTTCTGTGTTGGAATACGGATAACTCTATATCCTCATAGGCCGTGATCTGTTGCATGTTTCTCTTTCAGAAGTGAACGTCAGCTATGTCTGGCTGTCTGTCATACATTGTTGGATAATTTAGGGGTAGTAGTGCGTGGATGGGTGATCAACTTATCATAACGTAGGTAAGCAATGTCCCCTCTTTGACGTGCTGCTTTTAAGACCGGCATTAGTTCCGCCCTCCTTTTCCTTACTGCATCCGTGAAGTCTTCGTTAATGAAAATCTTAGATCCCTTAAGTGCCTTGGTGCTCTGCAGAATAGTTGATCTGTCCTTGTATCGTAAAAATTTGACAACAATAGGCCTGGGTCTGTCTCCTCTATGTTTACCGGTGCGGTGAGCTCTCTCAATGTCAACCTTATGTTGAAAGTTTAGCTTTTCATTTAAAATAGTTTTCACTTTCTCCTCAGTCTCAGCCCAAGTCTCATTTGGTGATTCAGTAATTCCATCAAAAACCAGATTATTTCTCCTTGATTGCCCCTCAAGGTACTCCATTTTATCCGTGATAGTCATCATACCCTCACATACTTTCAATATGTCTGACTGCATCGTGTCATTTCGGTCCTTGTGCTTAGCACTTTCTACTTTAATGTCGTCAATGTCTTTCTGTGTAAATTGCAGGCTGGTTTTAATGTCCTGTAGTTCTCATGTCATTGCGTCCATTCTGGTGTTAGTAGTGTCCACAATGATTTTTAACAAAACCCTTAAAATTGTCCTGTTGTTGTTGGAGTAACTTACGGACAAGGCAGAGTTTTACCTCTGCCTGTTGTCAATCCAACGCGTCGTTTTCCACTGGTTGTTTTCTCTGTTAGAGCTGTCCGGAAGGCTCCGTCCTCATTCAACGCTGGAGGGAGACCGGGGAAGTCTTCCTTTGTTACCGGGACACATTTACATTTAGATAATGTGTCTTATCAAAAGTAAATATAATAAAAAAAATTGTTTCAAATAATTTCTTGTAACAATGTCAGCATCACCTTATATCCACTGTATTACTTTCTGCCATTTCAACATGTAAACACAACACCTGGCAAATAGGTCCAATCTTTTCCCGATTGTATTTAACCAATGACCTCCCTGAATAAAGACTGTAATTGAAAGTTCAAGTTTGAACATCATGTTTCTGTATAAATTATATGGTCTGAATTAATTTTACATGTAAAGTATATTCCGCATTCAATGATATTACAGTCTGTGGCATAATTACTGTTATTATTACTGCTACTGTGGTACCATTATTGCTTTCCCTACTATGATAGACGTGTGACTAAATGGCTGAAATTGTTGTCATTTCACAGTGGGATTTAGTATGCGATAATGCATATAAAGTGCCGCTGTCCACCTCCATTCACTACATTGGCGTGTTATTTGGAACTCTGATATCTGGCCAGATGTCTGACAGGTCAGTAGTGCTAAGGGCACGTTTTGAAAGCTTTAGGACACAACCCAATTTTTCCTCTGTGGTTGAATAACAGGTTTCTTCCACAGGTTTGGGAGGAGGCCTTTACTCTTTGCCATGATGGCTCTTCAGACAGTGGGAATCACAGCACAGATCTTCTCACCAAGCTGGGAGATTTTCTGCCTGATTTTCTTCTTTGCGGGTGCAGGGGTGTACTCCAATTATACCATTGGATTCGTGTTGGGTATGTTGTTTATATGCTTTTCCTAAAGTCATAAATGCAGCAATGCTGCTTTGTGTATTTACATCTAAACAATCTGGTTGGAGATGATGATCTGGACTGAAGCAAGTTTTTACAGTTAAGTAGAAACTGAAAGTGAAAACCTCTCATATAATATTTTTGTAATCATATGGCATACCCTGGAAAATTGCACCTAGATTGCAGCTTGTGCCCCTTCAGTTTTTCTTCTCCAAAATACAAAAGGCTTTAGTGTTAACATTTTTCTACTGCATGTGAGGAGCAAAGGACTGATAATAAAACTAAAGCATGTGATCTCTCATACACAAGTATTTTGTTTCATTAAACCAAGCAAATAGTAAAGGTCCATTTTTAATCATTGGCTCCTACAGGATCAGAAGTTCTCAGCCCAAAAACCCGAGTGTTTTTTTGCTCACTGGGTGTCTTTATGAGCTCTGCACTGGGGTACATGGCAATGCCTCTAGCAGCCTACTTCCTCCGTGATTGGCGGCTGCTGCTAGTTGTGATGGCGGGGTCTGGACTCATCTACATCCCTCTGTGGTGGTAAGGATTTTCTGTTATGTATTCATATTGTTCATCAACACTGAAACTAGTGCAGAATTGTGTTAAAATAAGTTCAAGTTTTTCAAAAACATGAAGTTTTATATTTTCACTTTTTTTATTTTAATCATCCAATGCTGACTTGGCTATCTTTGCTTCCAATGGAAAAGTGTTTTGTGTTATGCATGCTGCAGTGTTATAATGGCCTATGTTGGAAAAGTATTCGCAAGACTGCATCAGAAATTGGTCTGAGAAAAGTGTTAGACACTGACCGGCATCATCAATCTCTTATTTATCCAACGACTTTTCTTCTTCCAGGTTCATCCCAGAGTCCCCCCGCTGGCTGCTTTCTCAAGGAAGAATTAAGGAAGCTGAGGCCATTCTAAGAGAGGCTGCAAAGATGAATAAAGTACCAACTCCAGAGGCCATTTTTACGCAAGCCGAGGTTCTTTTCAACAACCACATGATCACCATAATCTAAACATTTGCTCCAAGAGCCTTTGAAATACTTTATAAAACTCATTCTCTACAGATTGAACAAGCTCAGGCTATGAACGATGAGAAAATCAACATTATATCTGTCCTGAGAAGCTGCAATATCACGATTATCATATTGCTCTGTGCCAGTCTGTGGTATGTCTTCGGCTTCCCCAAGTGGAAAATCGGTGGCCTAAAAGGTCATGATTATGTGTTCCATCCATAGCTTTTATGCTTTCTATGTGTCATTGTGAGTTTCCAATTTGGCTTTGTTGTGAATTTCTTGGCAGGATGATCATCACAAGTAGTTACAATGCTCTGGTCCTCAACACTTCCAACATTCACGGTGACCCCTTCCTGAACTGCTTTTTGTCGGCTGTGATGGAGGTCCCAGCATACTTAATTGCCTTGTTGTTGCTCAAGTTTTGCTCCAGGCACTTCTGTCAGTCTTCCACTCTCTTCCTGGGGGGCGTGATGATCCTCTGTGTCCGTCTCATTCCAATAGGTAATACTCAAAACACTCAGAGAAATGTTGTTGGTCAATGAGACAAATGAGCTAAGGTCTTTTTTCCAGACTTTAACTTGAAAAACTGGTATGAAAAAGACAGTGAAAAAAGGGATAAAAAAATAACTTTAATCCAACTTAAATCGTGTTTAATCTTCTCAATAATATCTGATTTTGATTAAAAATGAGGACATTTTTGGGGGCGCTGCTGAGCTGTTATGGAGTAGGACGTGAGTTTGGAGGCTC